TATATATATATATATGTTGTGTATATAAAAAGTGTAAAAAGTCGCGTAGCGCGCGAGCGCGTGTACCGGGGGAGGGGAAATCAATCAGCCGCCCGCAGGGTGCATAGGTACAACGTCTGTACGTATACTTGCTGTTGGTACAAATATAAATAAGTATGCACGCTCTTTCTCTATGAATGTTCACAATTGTAATCGTTATTTTGTTTTAAATACGCACACGACATAACAAGAATTAAGAAGTGGCCGCTCTACACTGGCCGGGGGTTCCCAGGGTTCTATAATCGCGATAACACACACACACATATATATATATATATATATATATAGGTAGCATGTATTGCACTATGCACTATTCGATCGTAAAAGGGGTAGGAAGCATATATTTGTGTACAATTAATGTTTTGAGCAATTGTCATATTTACTAAGTAACCCTCTGGCACTGAAAATATCAAAATTCATTGTGTAGCCTGGGACACCACACGTGCGCGCTTAAATGTTACTTTTCTTTTTATCAGTAGGTACCCTTACGACTCTCTTTGATTATCTTTATTAAAAATTACGAGTCATGCAACGTACATCATATATACATATATAATCTATACATGTGCACGATAGTAGAGTTAACAGGTCGCCAGCGTGCCACTGCCGCTCTTTAAAAGCTAATATATCTTATAGCTTAATACCTAAGCATATACCGAACTCACGTGTCACTGAACCCAGGAGGCCACCGCACATTTACTCGCCATAACGGATTATATCATACCTTTTATTGAAAACAAAAAAAAGAAAAAAAAAATTTTTTTTTCAATCCTAATCCATAAGCAGCAGAGTATGAATTTTCCGGAGACTTTTATATACTATCATTTTTTTTAAAGACTTAATAAAAAAAAAAAAAAAAAATACAGATTATACTGCTGGCACCCCTACACCTTCGCCTCGACCTCCGCTCTGTGGGGGGTGACTGGACAGGGCAGGTGTTGGGTAATGGTTTAGAGGACGCGGTTCGTACACGCCTCGGGAATCTTCGGTGGGAATCGATAGTCGTGTGCTTTCCTCCACCAACTCATCTGCTTCTTGTAGGTACTATAGGTATACATCTTCGGAATGTACCTACTTTTCTCTCGTGCATTATTTGCGCTCTTTTCGCTTTTATATATATATAGATGTACCGGTGTTTTTCTTCCACATAATAAAATTTAAATCATGATCTCGAGCTATCAACATATCTCTTTTTTTTTTTTTTCTTCTCTATCGAGATGAAAAATTCGAAACGTCAAGTACATTTATAACTCAAGAGCTAACATTAATCATAGCGTCTGTATATATATACATACATACATATATATGTACAAAAAGGATGAAGAGGGTGAATATACAAAAGACAATTACACTCGACAACGGATTGTTTGATGTACGTACAGCTTGCGACGATTAATTATAACGGCTCTTTTGGCGACCTGCACATTGCATGTATGCTTTCACCACCACGACAGAGAGAGTAAGTAGTGGGGACGGTAAAAAAGGAGAGCGCGTACGAATAATTGTCTCGCTGTCGTGAAATTTATATAAATATATGTATATATTGCTCTATTGTACAAAAGATATGCACCACATAGTTTCTTTGGATGAATTTTCGTTTTGTAAAACATACGCACACGCGTTTCAATGGATGAATAAACGTTGGTAGTTAAAAAAAAATAAAGATGCCAACATCCAAGCGTATATATGGACGTACATCACGATTGCGTACAATACACGTATATACGGGTTCGATCGAAGAGCGCAAGCTCAAATCAAATTACAAAGTTGGCGGGTGTTTCGTCATAATTCGATCATTTATTTTTAATTCTGGGCACACTGACCAAATGCCTTTTTTGCTCTCGCACGTTACGCGATTTATACATTACTCTAAATCCATCATGCGAGTGTAGATGTGTTACATCCAATTTTTTTTTTTTTTTTTTCCAACGACAGAGATTACACTAAATGATAATTTTTACAAACACTTATGTAAGTCGGTAGTGCTTTTTTGTACACTATTTGAAAAAACTAAATTGAACTCGTCAACGGGCCATGAAAATTGTGTAATAACAATGCGCTTTAGGATTGTACAAAAAATACGATGCGCACATTATGTCAAGGGAAAAAGTGGTGTGCTCCGAGTGTTGTAGCAAAACACATTGACAAACAACACAGATATAAATTAATAAGCGAAAGCTCATAAAGTTTTTAACGCGATGAAAATAATGCTTATTATAGCGTGAGTGGCACGCGCAAAAGTCTATTAATTAAATAGAGAAGCTTTTGCGGTCATCTCTCGAGCCGTGTACCCATATATGCCCATGTATATATACGCAATAAAAAAAANNAAAAAAAAAAAAAAAAAAAAAAAAAAAAAAAAAAAAAAAAAAAAAAAAAAAAAAAAAACGGAGGTGTCAAGAATCAATAGCGAAACATCCAACGAGATGATAACTTTAATCGGCAAAGGCCGATTTTATATCCACATACGTACACTTTTTGTACGATGGAGATGTTACTTTATGTAAAATCGAGCCAACAAATATAATATTTAATAAACAGGGGGACGGGCATGTATCAGCAATCGAGAGCAGTATCGATATACATATAAAAAAAGACACATCACGTGACGCGCGCGCCTCCACGTATTTCCTTCTTATTCTTGAGCTTTCCAAGTTATCATCATCATTACAACTCCCTGCAGTCATTCATTGAACCCTCGCGGCCGCGCGTGCGCGTGTCTCGCGCGAAACGGAGGAAGCGCGAGCTTGCAAAAGTATTATCCTCCCTCCCGTAGTTGCAACGAGCAAAAGAATATTGAGTGTATATTACATGTATATATATATCGGGGGGGAGCCAAAGTCAAGTGTAAAACGCGCGCGCGCTAAATCGGATCGAGAAATCGTGGGCACGCACACGGAGATCAGTAGTGGCAGCAGCACGACTCGAAGGAGAGCACACACTCCGTGCTTGCAAGCTCTCCCTCTCTCTCTCCGAGCCTTCATTTACCCCCTCCTCCTCGAGCTTTCGTATTTAGAAGCGACGATTCGTATCTTTGTGTGTCAAGTTTAGATTGCTCGTCTTTGCCGGACAGTTGCTCTCTGCCACATCGAATCGGAGTGCGGGTCTCGGTGTACACCTGTAGAGCGCGTTGTCACGCGACAATAAATTAAAAAAAAAAAAAAAGAATAATAATCATCTGTTTGGTTTGGCTCCCGATGTTGGATGAGATGATGTTAAGTATTCATTACACGTTTTTGTGCCTCCATACGACTCGAGAATCAACCTTTTTTTTTTTTTTTTTTTTTTTTCCTCTGGTTTTTTGGTGTTGCAAAAGTCTCTGCCGAGTTTGTACATTATACTATCACTTCATTTGATCACACGACGATGCGTGTATAAGTACGCGACGAGTGAGATTTCCGATGCTCATGTGTATTTTGCATTTTGCCATGTGAATCGAGGGGAGCGTGTACACAGGGCGCGTCTATGTATAGATTGTACCGCGTTATATTATTACTATCATCTCGCACCAAAACACACCTGCGCGTAAATATAGTTCATTGTTTTTTTTGGTGTTGCTCGAAATAATCATCATTTTTCCTTCCTATCGATCGAGCAGAGTTACATACGGGTCCATCAATTTGCGCTCGAGGAGACAAGCATACGTATAAAACGCGTGCGTGGGTGTCTTTAGGAAAAACATGTTGAAGCGCGGAGTGGAAAAAAAAAAAGAAAAAGTAAAAGTTGTTAATTTGCCGTGGTGGGTGATTCGCAGGCAAGCGCAGCCGTAGCTCCGGACTCCACCTCGGCCGATTTCACGGTGCGGGAGCCTCGCATCCCCCGACAACTGCACTACGCGAACGGCGACCCGGTCCTGCCGGCCGATGTCATCCCGGCGCGGCCGGTCAACGGCGCCAACGATCAGGCCACCCGCAAGACCAGCCACCACCACCACCACCACCACCGCCGGAAACACAAAGACCCGCCAACCAGCGAACCATCAACGGCCCGGCAACAACAGCATCGTCGAAAGGTGGTGGTGGGTACGGTGCGATTCAATAACGGTATGAGCCCCGAGGAGGAGGCGGCCCACGCGGCTGCCGTTGCCGCGGCCGTCGACAAGATAGACGTGGAGTTGCTGCCCCCGCGGTTGGTCGTGCCCTCGGAGCGCCGGGCCCGCTGGTCGTCGCGCAACACCCTCCTGCCGGTCTCGCCCCACCAGCTCATCGACGGCCGCATCGTCAGGAGCGCCCTCAGGCTCAACCGCAAGAGGCCCAAGAGGGACGCCCTGCGCTTCACCGACAAAGAGATCACCGGCTGCCTCGAGCCCGACAATCCCTGGATACGCCGTGAGTCTCTTCCAAGGGGGGTACGCAGGGCCGCATATTTCGATAGCTACACCGTGTCAAGGCCGCGCACGTGTATTTTATATATATGTATATATTCGAGAGAGAGAGCTATTTAAAAAAAAAAAGAGCGCACCCTCCCGAGAGAGTAAGTATACGAGAGTCGTCGTGTACTATTCCCTCCGCTGCCCGAGAGTGCTTTTATATATTTATATCGTACGTCGTACACAATTGGTGTATATAGGTTTTATTGCACATATTTATTTCATCCAAACGAACGCGTGTGCGCGCATCCGGTCATGATTATTCCGCGAATAGCGAACGAAAATGCTACTCGTGTGTGTGTTTTTTTTTTTTTTTTTTTTTTTTTTTTTTGTCTTTCCGCGATAATCGGTAAATACCTGTACTCGGGTGCGCCGGGGGTGAATCATACCGGAAGATTTACGACAAAAATATACGCGCGTCGTCTGATTATTGCCACGCACAGTTACATATTGTTTACGTGTACGTGGAAACGTGTGCTCTTTTATTATGACGAATCGGTAAAACTAATATGGGTTTCCTTTCAATGTGTTGATCTAAAATCGGGTACCCGCGCAAAATAGGTATATACGTACTTATATGTATCAGCCGGATTTCCTCTTTCGGCAGAGGGGAAAAAAAAAAAAACGTTCACGTCCGCTCATGCGGAGGAGTCCAATTGGAGACGGAGATAAGAAATTCGACGCGCGATGCCAAAAAAAAAAAGGCACTCGAGTTCCGTTGCGCGTACGTGAACAGCCACTCTTTTTTTTTTTTTTTTGTTTTCTTTTTTTCTCTCAACAAGTGTCACACAGATATCTTCTCTCTCGTCCATCTGGGGCTTCGATTGTGGTATATGCACACGCAGTCGTGAAAAATGGCCCTTTATTCATCGCAAATCCATAATTGTCGTCTTTGGGTAACAGCGGAGTGTTTCCTTACCGGATGGCACTGCGGATTTCAGAGTAAATTAAATGCAAACAAATGGCCCTCCGTTGCAGGACAAAATCTGACCAAGGAGGCGGTCGTCGCCGCGTACAAGGAGGCCTGCGACAAGCACAAGGTGTTTCCCCTGCAAAACGTCATTTATCAAATCAAAGTAAGCCATACAGTTAGCACCAACTTATTAATCCAACAAGCGATACGTATGAAAATGATAACGTTACTTGCTCAGTCGGCGGAACAATTGAACGAGCGCCTCGAGGAGATGAGCTTCAAAGACCACAGTCTCCGACAAGCCGACTGCGACGCCCTGGAGGAGGTCTTCCGGAGGATTTTGTTCTATAAAGTCGATCTGGACACCGCGATCGGCGACGACAGCGTTAGTATACAGCCGAAAACAACGCTCATAAAATCTTATCCAATAATTTAACGGTTGGTGTTTCTTTTTTTTTTTTTTTCCTCGCTCAGAGCGCCGAGGCTCTGTTTCAGATATTCGAGTTTTACGAGGCTGCCGTGCACATCGTCCTGTCTAACAACCAAAACATCGGCACCTGCGGCTGGCAAGCCTGCAGCAGAATGCTGAGAAAGGTAACAACATAACATAACGTACATCTACACAGCGCGTGCATAAATATATTTTTATTCGCAACTGTGATGCTTTCCAGACGGAGTGCGTCAAACAAATGGACGCCGTCAATGTGCGCCTCACCGAGGAGTACATGACGATACTCACCCGCGGACTGAGGTACTCGTATCTGGTGACGCTGACTTTCGATTCCTGCCACCTCAACGGCCGAACCCTCCAACTTTTGGGTACACCATATACTAGTAGTACCTTATAAGCTTGATTAGAAAAAAAAAAAATGATGTTATTAATAGCACAATAGTATAATATATACCTGGTGTGTGCGTGTGTATTGTGTGATTAAAAAACCGATGATTGGTATGTCGAACGAACGTTCGGTATAGTACGATTATATGTTGTGGCGCAACTTGTTTGTTCTCGGCACCCGCAGTACTGGCCTTGAAATTTAATTTGGCGTTGAGGCAGCTCTATCTCCGCAACAACGAAATACAGGGAGCCGATTGCACCCACGTCGAAACCCTTTTGAGGTTCAACAGTCGGTTATCGTACCTCGATCTCAGGTCGGTGTATATAACATATATATGTATACAATCGTCATAAATGGGGCTGTGAAAAAAAAAAAAATAATAAATAATAAAAAATGTGTGTGTATATATGTTTCCCCAGCGACAATTTGATCGACGACGAGTACCTGGGCCGCGTGGTCAACGGGCTTTTGCATCAGATGCATTTCGGGAAGTGCAGCAGATCGAAAAAGGGCCTGGAAAGTCTCGTACTCTGGAACAACAAGTTGACCAAACGCTCGGCGCCACACCTAAACGCCGCCATTGTAGGTAAAGCGATTTATTACACAAAAACTTAGAGTACTTATTGTATATAATAATGTGTATCATTAGAATAAAAAACCATATACATGCTCACGTATCGATAAAAGCTCAATCGCGTCAAATTTATACGTGTTTGTATGCGAATATATTCTTTTCATTGTGCGAAAAAAATAAAAATAAACTCTCGATATCCCCTTGTCTCAGCAAGGAACCAAATCTTTGAAGTACCTGAGCATCGGCTCGAACAAGCTTACGGATGAGCTGATAATGGACCTGAGGGAGAGCTTGGCGGCGAACAAGACGTTGGTCAAGCTGGACTTGAGATCAACCGAGATCACGTGCTTCGGCCTCGCTGAATTGGCGCGGGTTATCGAGGACAACGACGTTATCGAGGTAACCTATGAACATTTGATTGAGTTAAAGTAATAATTTTACATGGTCCCGGTTAACAGGTGCTGGACGTGCGAAATAATCCCATCTCCAAGTTGGGACTTCACAGTATCATTCAAGCGGTCGAGCTCAACAGAAATGTCAAGGACATCTTTGTCGACGAAAAATCCAAGGTCAAGGAAGTAAGTTTGAATCAGCGTAGTTTTATCCCAAGTTGCCGATCAGCCGGTATACTTTGGTGCTTATATGAAAAATACTAAACCATCTGTCATTATTTGTTCCGCAAAAAGGCCAGCAAAATCAAAATGAAGTACAGTGAAATGGTGAAGCACCTGCAAAAGCTGTGCGAAAGCAACAAGGAACTCGCAAAGGAAGTCGATGGTAAGAGAGTTTATATTAACAATAATTTGTTGTACGATTAAATGTTCGATACTCAATTCAAGTGCGTGTTTCAGCTGCAACGGAAGATGAGTTCGAGGACAGTGACGACAATGAAATGTTTGGCGGCGAAGATTTGGATGAGCTGGAACAGCCCCAAGAAGAACTTCCCAGTGAATACAAGAGATATATGACGTGGAAAATATAGAGACTATATACTTACATATATCATAAAACTAATTGAAAACGAAAAAAAAGAACGGATATGATATTTTTTAAAAGACAAATTGTGTAAAATGTTGACAGATTCAGTGAATATTGCCATATTGTTGTTATAAATATTCTTAATTTTAACTATTAAATAAAGATGTATGTTTTTCAATACAAGCTGCTTCTTTGATTGAACTTTGGACAAAAAAAAATGCTTACAATGAATACTTTTTATTCAAATATTCGCGCGTTGATTGCACACTGACGTCATGTAACTGCGTGCGCAGACAAGCTTGGGGAAAAAAACAGTGTGTATTTTTTTTTAATGAGGTTAGGAAGATCGGGCAAACTCTCTTTTTGTCAGCTACGTTGAGCGAAGACCGTAAGTTATTTTGTGTTGTGTCAAATTTATTTAACCGAATGCTACATAAAATCGATAAAACGCAGTGAAAACAACAATCTGAATTGTTGAATTATATATTTTTAATACTTTTGTTAATATTAGTGCAACACAATCGAGTGTAAAATTGGTAAATATGTGCAAATTTGCTGACACACGTGCGTTAAGTGTCAATTGTGATTCGTATATTCGTGATATAAAGTAGACAAAACTACGAAAGATTTGATTTGCATTATAAATTTGGTTCATTGTGGCTTTATAATTGAGTTGTAGCTAGTTGAAATTAAAAGAATTAAATTACCGCTTCCCACATAACCCCAAAAATTCGTCAGCATTTGAAACGCGCCCTCCTTAATCGTTAAAACGATTATTAAAGCTGCAAACTGATGGTACCTATTTTTTTTTTTTTTTTGTCTTTTCTCTAGGTAAAGAAGTAAGCAAGCCACAATGACGAACTCCAAGGGTTACCGTCGTGGTACGCGAGACCTGTTCTCGCGCAAGTTCCGCAAAAGCGGCACTATTCCCCTGTCGACGTACATGAAAGTGTACAAGGTCGGTGACATCGTCGACATCAAGGGCAACGGCGCCGTGCAAAAGGGCATGCCTTACAAAGTCTACCACGGCAAGACTGGACGCGTCTTCAACGTTACACAGCACGCACTAGGCGTTATCGTGAACAAACGCGTGCGCGGTCGCATCATCGCCAAGCGCATCAACATCCGCATCGAGCACGTGAACCACTCCAAGTGCCGCGAGGACTTCCTCAAGCGCGTCAAGGAAAACGAGAGGCTCAGGAAGGAAGCCAAAGAAAAGAAAGTCCGTGTCCAGTTGAAGAGGCAACCGGCTCAGCCTAGACCCGCACACATTGTCCACGGACACGAAGCGCCACAGCTTCTTGCGCCTATCCCATACGAGTTTATTGCTTAAATCATAAATAAATTTACTTTGTATAATAACGTTTGTAATGATGTTTCATTCACTGCATTCCAAACCACTACATTAGTGTACAATTGAAAAACATGTTTCTGCGTGTTCTTATCTTTATTGAATTTACAGCCGAAATAATAAGTAGTAATATTGAACGTGAAAAAGATATTGTTGAAATTTGACATTTGTGTGACACAATTTGAATTAGAATGCTCATGAAGTGCTATATAGTTACACTTCTTTTACATCAGTTTTTCCTTTAAACGGTGGCACCTCGTCGCTTATCCAGTCAAGATATGCCTTGTTACCATTTTGAATCTAAAATCAATGTAAGACCTTAGTAAAAGTTTTAGTGATTTATTCTTACAAGTACGTGAATTTGCACTTACAGGTAGGGAGATTACTTCGCATACCTCGTAGGAATGGTTACTCCTGTAAAAAAAAATTTCATAAATTAAAAAGAATCAGTATTTGTGGTGTCATGATAACTTACTTGACATATTCTGTCAGAACATCGACAGTATCTGTTCTTGTTTTAATCATCTGCAAAAGTTAAAATTAAAAATGAACTAGTACAGATTTATATTTGACGTCCAGAAAAGCTCTACATTACCAGTAAAAGTTCACTATCTTCTTGTATTTCGTTTTTCCATCGATACCTGCACAAAAATTCCTCTAAATAACACTTTCTTTTACAATTAATGTATTGACATTTTAAGATTGTAATGGGGAATACAATACAAACTTACACGGATGTGATTTTTGGAACTATATTGACACAAGCTGCCAGCCTATTCTCCACGATTCCACTGAAAAACTCGAGTCAAGTTATTAACTATTTCAAAAGTCCACAAGCAACTTGAAACAAAAACATTTAAAAAACCAACACTTACCGAGCCAACATTTTTGCTTCATCTTCCTTTCCAACAGTAACGTAAACTACGGAATGTATACCTGCGCTCATAGCTTTTGTGCTTTGGGCTTGCAAGCCTCTTGAAAAACATAAAAACGTTAACAATCCGATTGTCGGCTTCCCAAGCATTCCCAGTTGAAATTTACCAAGTCTATACGGTATGAACAGTGAGACTCCAAACTCCAAATAGTGACGAAGGTTTAAGATGCATTTTGATGGGACGGTGGAAAACAGCGAATATGCTTTGCCCATTCAATACAACTGATTCAGGTTCCTCATCGTTTCGTGAAAATTCACCTTGAGGCCGGGTTCACTTGAACGTGAATAGACAGAGATCAAAAAACACCTCCGTCCCGCAATAAATACAAAAATAAAAATAACTCGTTTCCATTCATAACAATATTTTTATTTTCAGTCATACATTTTTACATCTTAATAAAATCTGGTAATATCTCTAACATGGATAGAGATATGAGAAATCTCAAAAACTGTTTGAATTAATATTCATGATTTACTTGTAGACTAGTTTTGTAATATAAATACACTTTATGTAAAATAAGATGTTCACTTTCTATTTTTTCGTTGAAATAGGTAAAATTAGATCTATTTCTTTTTCTGAAATAAAAAACCCTTAAAATCGTAAAATGTTTAAAAGATTTCACTCTTTTTTACAGAGTTTATAGAAAATTCGTAGAAACTTTGTTTTGTCTTTTTTTATTACTTATTAATACTTAGGGAAGTGAAGTTTATCGTATGTTTCAACTATTTTACTGAATACTTTTCACAACTATAAGAGATGTGTATTTCATTCTAAAAAATACACCTCACTAATCTTTAATTTCTCTTATAAATTTTCTCGTGGCTTTCAAACTAAATGCAAATCAATAAAATGTAAGAACAATTTAACAAGCTAGATTAAAATAATCTTTTAGTACAAGACTTTTTTTTAAATATGTATTTTTTTTGTTTATACAATAACGAGTATGTCACATAAAAAATTAAAGCAAAAATATTTAACTTTAATAAATTGATTTCGATTGTGCTTACAATTACATATCTACAATATTTTTATTGATGCAACAAAAAATACGCAAAAAATTTTTAATTTGTTTCGCGGCTAAAATTGTTTTCCAATTCCTTTGATTGGTTTGATCATTTTAAATGCGAAACAAAACTTTGTAGTTTATACAACTTGATCAGAACGTGCTGAATTTTAAAACATAACAACATGAATCTACAGCGTGTTTATACACAACTTGATCATCTCACCCTCTCTTTCTCTCTGTTGCATTACTCGACCTTTCATACCCATTGATCACAGAGGAACGCATTTCTTCTCCTTTGTGAAAACTAAGATTCACTCAAAAGCAAAGAAAACTTTTTCACTTCATTGCTTGGTGAAAAAATTCATTTACTGCATGTTGTACGTGAAAAAAAAAATTATGGGGAATTTCAGAAGAAATTTACTAAACATGCAGTGGACTCAAACTTTCTTGAACAGTGTCATTCTTTGACAAGTCAAAAAAGCGAGATATAAGTTTTTGGATATCCTCACACTGGAAATCTAGAAACTTTTCCAATTTGTAAAAAAATGAATAAAATTTCATCCCTAGTACGGCTTATAAATATATCTAACGAAAAAGGTATCACGTATGATTCCAACTGCTTGTTCATTTATCTTGGCTCCTGTGAAAGTCGCGATTCCTTCATAATTTTTAAAGCCTCAGATAATCAACGAAGCAGAGCTTTATAACTTACAAAAATTCCTTCCGTAAATATAAGTTCTAACTGCAGTCTCTTGATTGATAAAATAAAATATATCCAGTTTCCGAGTTTTTTTGTATATCCGATGTCAATCCATAAAAATCTTCTATAGCTGACGAATCAATTTTCTAAAAAATGGAATTGTATACAAATACATCAGTTGTTTACAAAAACAGATTGATAAACAAATTGTAAAAAATGAAATCTTACATCAACCATGTCATCATCAAAAAGTAACCAGAAGCCATGGCTTTTGACAATTGAAATATAATGTCCTCTATTAGGCCCACTTCCACAATGAATCACTACAGCAACTAGATCATACAATCGATCTGGATTAACAGCATCATCACTCTGCAATAAAATTGATTGATTGCTAGCATGTTTATCTGATTAAATTTTCTTGTAACAGAAATTTAAAAATCTTACCGTGTTAAAAAGTCGAAGTTCTAGAGGAAAAACTACCCTGTGTGAAACTTTAATGTGCCTATTGTACTGTTCCATATACTTGAATCTTTTTAAATGCAAAGCAAGTATCATTGGTAGTTTTTTTAGCATCATTCGTTTCTGTAATATCAGTGCGCCTCACAATATTTTGTCTCATCGAAAAAAATAATGTGGAAAGAATGATATCTAAATATTTACCTGTGCCTCTTGATAGCTGCTGCAATGATCACATTTAAATTTGTTGTCACTGCAAAGCGTTTCTGTATTGGAAAAACACTTGAGGCAATGTGTTATGGAGGTATTTTGATCAACGTCAACCTGTAAATCAAAGAAATCTTCATCCTTGCTGGATACAGTCTCACAGTTAAGGCAACGAGTTTCCGAAGTCAAAATGCCCTGGAATATTTCGTGTACCCAAGTAGGCTCTGGAGGTGTGCTAGCATCGTTGCTACCTTTTCCTCCACCTGGTTTACTTTGATTTCTTTCAGCTGAATGAGGGAAATAATTTACTGTTTACCGTCATAAATGAAAAATTAGAAAGGCAAGATCATATCAACTTACCAAGGATTATTTCATTTATGTGATTGATGAGAAAATTAAGGAATTCATGAGCATCCTGTTGCATGTAGTTGTCAAACTCCTCTGTGAAAACAATAGTTTTAGTTTGTCCAACTACTGATCATTGTTACGAAAAAGTTCAAGAAATACAAGTACAAACCTTTTTCTTTCCTTAATCTTGCTATAAATTTTTTTGGTGCTATTGAACCGACTTTTTTCTTTTGAGTGGCTATACTGTGAAACAAATCTGCCAGACATGTTAACAGAGTTTCTTTGGTACGTTTATTCTTGGCTTTGTATTCTAAAACTTTCTCTCTGAAGGGCCGACAAAAGTACAAAGCTTGCAGAACTGAGTTGCTATAACACGTATTTCCAAACTAAAAATATAAATATATCACAGTTACTTAGCTATCAAGGTATGGATACGAATTGCAATACCTTGCTACTGTTTCTGACATGCATTAACTAATAAATATCATTAGAAACGATAATTATCAAGAGAAAAAAAAAAAAGATTATTCTACTTATTCTTGTCATGTCACAGACAGTGAAAAACAAACAACATCATTGCAATAATACCCAGTACATAAAACGACGTTAGAAACAGCATGCATCAATCATACTTACATTGACTAATCCAAAGTAATGCTCATTGGGAGGAAATTGATCGGAGCCAATATCCCTTTCCAGCTGAGATATATTGGCACCCTGAAATAAGCAGTTCATAACTTTTACATAACGATGCTTACGCTCATGATAACAAACAAGCGCATGTAATAACGATTGAGACGTCGACAATATATTAGTGAATATAGAGAGGACGGACTGTACGACGTCCACGTCAACAAAAAAAAAAACGTGCAAAATGAGTTTACTTAGTACATGTGCACTTGAGTAAGTACTCGTGCCTACTTTGTGATAAGAGCACTGCCAAGGTAAACACACAGATACTATACTAATGTGCTCTCCGAGAGAAGAGTGATGATGCTGACAAATATGTAATCTCCTTTTGACACTAGGTGGGCATTTTTATACATGTATATTTCGGAGCGCGACTTTCGCGCTCTTGTCACCTCGGTGTATCGACAACAGCAGCAGCAAAAGAAGAAGAAAATGAAGATGACGAGAAACGCACGAGATGCAAATGATCATAAGAGAAAAGCTGCACAACACGTGCAGGAAGTCGGATGGAATGTCGTTCTCGGTTATTACTGCTATTATTCTGACTTAGATTTCGACAGATTGTTTGTATTTTGCAGAGCTAAAGCGAAAACGTAAAATGACAAGAGTCGTGACAGGGAAAAAGAAATGGGTAAACAGAGTAAACTGGCTGGCAGAAGGTTAATAAGTAAGAGTCGGTGAAAAAGAAGACTCACCATTTTACGAGTCGCTCGCTCCTCCCCGATTAAACGCGTGGCGACGACTTTGTTGTTCTCCGGATGGAGACGACGAAGGCGACAACAATTTTTTACTGCTACTTTTCGAGCAAAAGTTGTGGCTTAGACCCATTATTTATTATTACGGACAGCAGACGTATCTACAGTGCCGCACCAGCAGTACATGGGTAAATCTCTCTCTCTCGTGTCTCTCTTATAAATCTTGATATGATTATTATGATATACCGATGCCTAATTGCCTATATAGTGTGCCATTGATATTACATAGTACATATGTTGTGTATTAAGGGGACGTTTTCAAGGCAGCGTTGTATTGACGGCGTTGACGCGCTCTCACATTCAGATGCCCTGGCATTTATTCAAAGGGTTGTTTCGTGGTTCAATAATAACTTTTAGATTATTGATAATTATTTATTAAAATAATTACGCGCAGGCCTATACCTACATCGGCTACAATAAAAGTTAATTAAAAGACACCATCAAAATGTCAGATTTTTTTTTTATTAATGTCAAAATATTTTACATCTTCAGTATATATATATACCTACTTGCTAAAAAAACAGTTATGATTTTTATAAAATAATATCTTGTTTTGTGATGCTTGTTTTCTACACGATTTTTTTTTTTTTTTTCTGAAAAGTTACGATTGCTAGCTACTTTACGTCAATCAATCAATCCACCGAGCGTAAATAAAATCTTTTAAAGCGTTGCAAAGTCACTAATTCGTTCGCATCTTACAATACAGACTAATTACAAAGTTTGTAAAAAAATTATTTTTTCTACAAAAACACTGTTGAGTGGAAAAACAAACGCAATAGTCGATCTATGTCCTACAAATAATCTATTAACAAATATTTATGATAAATTTGGCAATAACGCAACGCCAGCTTGAACGTATGAAATACAAGATTGTGACACAAAAGCCACAACAACTGGAACTTCTTTTGACTCTTGCTGCAGCCTTTGCAATTTACTGGCGTCAAGGCATGCATCCTTTTTCGAGCTATAAATTGAGGGGGGAAAAAAAAAGTTAGCTAGATCAATGCAAAACAATCAATTAATTATCTATGAAAAAATCATGCGTTCACCTTATAACAAACAATCGGCATATTGGCGTACCAGGTGTCGATTTCTTATAATGTTGATTGGCAGAGTAAACATCATACGAAAGATGGTAATCAATTTTGCGCGACCTCACAGTCCTATCACTAGCTGATTTAATGATTCTTAGTCTATCGTACACTTCCAACATGCTGGATATACCTTTGGAGTCCACCAGCGGCTTAACCGTCTCGACAACTTGGATATCACTACCATCCATTGAGTCGTTTAGATTTGCCGGCTCCTCGTCCTCGATCGTTATTGTGCTTTCGTCGCGCCACTTTTTTTTCAACTCTGACCACGACTCGACTCCTAGTAATTTTGTAAAAGACGACTGGTACACTGCTTCCTCTTGCTTCATAGACCGTTGTAATTCTGTATTATTGCTACCATTACTATTGTTATAATTATTTCGGTAACCACCTCGTCCTATCAAAATTTATCAGAAAAATTAAGTTAAATGATGATGAAGGTATGAAGTAGCTAAATGTATAACGAAAGTTTCTCTCACCTCTTTGAAAACTTGCCGCGTGATAACTACTTCGTCTGTTGTAATACTGATTATTCATAGAATGTCCATAAAACGAATTGTACGCTGAATAGGGCTGAAATCTATTTTGCTGTGAGAAAGGAAAGCGCGGAGTCGACGATTGCTGAATTATTTGAAGGTTTTGACAGAAAGTTGTGCCTTGGAACTGTTGCTGACGGATCATAGATGAGCGCACCATACTGCCCATCACGTCCATCACAAAATTAACATAATTACTTTGTACGACCGCACCACCCATGAACGATGAATTGTGAAACGAGACATTTTGTTGCTGATAGTTATAGGAACGAGGACCGACCTGACGCTGGCACCCAATACTGCTCCGATAGGCAAAACCATTGTTCAAATCACCAAAGTGGGTTATCGTAGTTGCCTGGAACTGATTGGGCTGCGAGTAAAAATGACTCGGACTGTTGGTGTCAGCGCCATTGTTTTGATTCCTGCTACTATTAGTGCTGTTTGATCGAGCACTTTTTCGCTGCAACTGCTGATCAATTTCGGACATGTGCAATAGCCGCTTACGATTGAAACGATAAAATTCTTTGAATGGCTTCACGCCTGGAGGTAAATACTCTCGATGTACTTCGACTACTAATGAATCATCTCTGGAATCCGCTAGATTCGGAAGGGTATTGAGGATTTCCATTCGCGTCATTGGTCGAGGAATGACTTCGATTTCGTCATCTGATAATAATTCGATCACCTGTGGGACAAAAAATCATATTGAAACGACGCGAGAATTAGACAATTACTTTTCAAGTTAATATTCACCTCAGGTCTAGATTTTTTTTCAGAAGGTAGTTCGGCAGCAGGTGGAGGTTCAGAATTTTTACGTTTCTCCGGCACACTATCTGTTGAAGTGTGGTTCGTCGGGTCAGCATTCAAATTATTTGTACTACCTACTATATCACTTCTTTTCGGCATCAACTTAACATTGCGCTGGATCCGAGTTCCCGGCCACTTTGGGGATTGATTGTCAGGTGGTGGTTGGTCTTTAACAATTTTAATGCTACCTAGTATTGTTTCATCCGAAATGATCCCAAGTTTCTTTGGAGATCCACCATTTTCTTCTTTATCCATTATACTCGAATTTGCGCTCTCTTCCTGTTCATTACCGGATTTTGACGTGAAACCTGAGAATAATGTTAAGATGCAATTTATGATTGATTTTCAACATAATATTTTTCATTTTTTATATTTATAAAGCTATTCACCATTACTGCCTGACGTGTCTTTGTCCTCGGTTGGAGAGGTATTTGGAGTCCACAAACCATCCATATTTGTAATTATTCTTTTAACTACATTAGACGACCTATTATCCATGAATGGTTTTTCCTTAATTCTCTGCAGTCTATAACCTCGCCTGACTAGTTGTGAATATACTCTATATTCATCTAATGTACACTTTGAATGCTCAACATTAATAAGTACTGCAAAAGCTTGTTGAATAGAAAGTGGCATTCCATTCCATGTAAGTTCCAAGGAGCCCTACAAAAAAAAATGGAAGAAAAACCTTTTGTTTAAAAATCTTGTAATCAAGGAGTTGTAGAAAGTATTGAAATAAAATCACCACTTTACCATTTCTAATAACAATAAAGCTTCCTCAGGTAGCAGGTAAAGTTGTGCTTTTTCTTCATATCCAAAATTTTCCCACTTCTGGCCTGACTTTTTTGTGACCCTGGCTTTCTGAATTCCAGGCAACCATTCAGCCAATGCCAATTGTGAATGCCTCTCAACCTTCTCGATTTCTACAACACGTTTACGGTTTCTCAAACCATTGTCCAATTGCATTGCTTCCAGCCATGATCCATTTGGTTCAAAATACTTTTTGCCAATTTTGGGCAGAGATACTTCTGACTGCTGCAAATCTTCCCAAGCAATGTTCCCAACACCTTTAACTTCCAATAGCTCTGAAGCACTGGAAAAAAATCGTTATACTAATCAGATATAAATATTCTACAAGTATTTTTATAAATTAAAGTTAAAAACATGAATGCACAATTATTTATCAATAGGACCGAATTAATCATGGATACTTTGACTTAATAATAATATATACTGTTATTGTAATATTGTAGATTGAAGTATGTGTAACAAAATTTTGAACAATATCAATGAATAGTTAAAGTACGGAAAAAATACACAATTCTTAAAAACAATATTTTCTCAACAATATGTGTTATTATTCCTTATATGTAAATTCGTAAATGAGGTTCAATTACATTCAATTAAAATTAGATAGACGTCAATCAAACACATATTGGAGCTATTGTTAAAGATGTTAAATTTTATCATTTAACTTTCTTGAAGGCAAATTAAAATTTTCTCATCGAAAAATCAAAAACGTAAAGACGAGCAATGGCGGTAGGTAAAAGTGGTACAAAAAACATTGTTTTTTCGTAAGTATTTCTTATTAAAACAACAAATGTTGAGGTTACGTGGATTCTTGTATTTTTGTAAACATTAATCAAACAAAAGTACGCACCTTAAAAAATTATCAGTAATAGTTTCTTTTTCTCCGTCCATTTTTTACACTCGTTTGTTTGACTGAAACAACATTCACCGTAAATTAACTAAAAATACAAGAGACCGCATACCGTGAGTTTTTGGAGATATCTCCATCTCCAAAAAAAAAAAAAAAAAACAGATTTCACACACACACATCATCCCCCCATCCGGCCGCCTTAGTCCTTACCCTTTTCTGACACTGTTGCCATTTACGTATCTGCACTTCTGCAGTGATTTGATTTGGCATTTAAAAATTCACTAAAATCTTATCAAATCTCTTCATTGAGTACTTATAAGTTTATCTTATTGCATTTACTGATTTATACGTCAAATTTGTATTACAACGAAAAAAATATATATCGTGCCGATTCAAGTAACCGACCAATCAACCTGTTTTTTCGAATGCAGAAGAAAGATAGTCATATGGTACCGTACCGGCATCGATCACTAGCTTTAATTAATTATAGTTAATTAAGTAATCGCTTATTTACCTAACAAGTGACAACGCCGCTAAATTTAGGTTAGCTATAGCCATCAGCTGTTTTATTTGGTGATTTACTTTTTGGCGTCTGCTATCCGCGTGTCGCCACAACATCAAAACAATTATAAAACGAAACAAATGAGAAGTCATAAAAAAAAGAGAAACAAGTTTATTAATTTTAATGATAAAAGCCACATATGATTAACGATGCGCTTTTCATCGATGGGTAGTGATATTAACGAGTCTTCGTCGTTGTTGTTTTGTCGCAATGGCAGAGATCGATCGAAAGAAAGCCGAATTCGAGGATTTCGAAAGATTTAAAGTTGACTCGAAAAATTTTTCTCAACAATTTTGTGGAATTTACAAGGCTCGACTGTCTTTGCTCAAACCAGAGGCTTTGAAATGCGCCAAAGCTAAATGGAGTGAGTATTTGCCTATACAGGTCGTAGGTACACAGAAGTTTATTTTCTATCAATTCCATGTAGTATCAATTCTATAATTCTGAATTAATAATTCTTAGAAAACAAAAAATGCATCCAAATCGTTGATCTGATAAAAGATGAATACAAAGAAGTATCCTGCGTCATTATTGGGACATTGTACAAGCACCAGGCACTCAAGCCTTCTATATTGAAAGAAATCGCTGACGAGTTGCAAGCTGTTCCACAGCCACCAAGATTAAATTACTGTAATCCCAAGGATGCTCTGTTTCTTGAAGATGATGTCGCACGCATCAGGTTAGTTGGCAATTTAACTCCAGAAGCTCTGGTTACTGGCTTGACTTCTGCTCTATGTGGTCATGGATTGAACGATGGATCATTTTGGGTAATTGTCTTAAAAAACTGTATTGAAGTTATCATCATGCCACATGTATGTTAAAAAACTTTAAAGTAACCTGAAAAACGGTTATAGGTTGAAGATTTTTGCTTTCCTGGTCTATACTTGAATCCCTTGATGCACCCTATAAGTTGCTGTGCCAAGGATAGTGGCAAAATGTTACTGTTACTATCTGGATTAGATTTTGCGAATAAAGCGGATAACTTGAGTATGGAGTTACTAAGTGACTGGATAACCGGATTGATTGGGGATGAAAATACACAAATGGAAGCAGCTAGTGTTGTAAAAGTTATAGTAGCAGGTAAAATCTTTGAATTAAATCAATAAAGTTGTAAAAAATTACTTTTTGATAGTATTTTTCGTATAAAGGAAATAGCGTGAAGGGTACTGCAGAAACATTCACTCGCAAGGGTTACTTTGAAAATAAGAAAAAAGATTCTTTGTTTGCTGAAGAAATGCATCAAGCGGTAAGAAGATTCGATCGATTTATAGAAAAAATTGCAAAATCCTGTGATACGATCGTTATGCCTGGAGAATTTGATCCATCTTGCCATACACTGCCGCAGCATCCTCTTCACCCAAATCTGCTACCTAGAGCAAAGTACGTTTTACCTATGACTGGATTAGCCACATTATATATACTCAAACAGCGAAAAAATACTGAAAACTAAAGAAAAAGTGTCATCATTGCAGGAAAGTTAATTTATATGGTGCTACCAATCCCTGGATTGGAAAAATTGGTTCGCGAGTCATAGCGGGATCTAGTGGCCAACCAATAATGGACATAATGAAAGTATCAGACGTCGATATTTCGCCTCTGGGCTGGCTAGAGAAGACACTAGAATGGCAGCATTATGCTCCAACCGCTCCTGATACGCTAGCGGAATATCCGTTTGACCAGATGGATCCTTTCGTTATGCACGAATATCCAAATATTTATTTCGTTGGAAATATGAACAGATACGAAAGCAAAATAGTACAAGGTAAACGAAAAAAATAATACATACGTAACAAATTATTTTCACACTATTGACAATTTATTCAGTTAATCGATCAAATGATTAGTATAGTATATGTATGTATATATAAGTCAAAGCGCTTTCCATACGTATATGTTGTCCAGGTGTTGACAGAAATGACGATTCCGAGGGTCAACCAATTAGGCTAATATGTATACCAAAATTCGCAACCAGTCACACAGCGGTCTTGGTAGACTTGGAATCGTTGGACGCAAGGCCGATATCGTTTGGTTAACTTTAAAACATAGGTCATCAATAATTTATTATTTGTATAATTTATCACTCATCAAGCATAATTTTTCCTTCATCAATTGATACCCAAAACAACAATTTAATGACTCGGATTGTGCAATCAAAGTTTCAAATTTATACATTAGGTACTTGGATCAGTGTACATGTACATAGATTTTTTTTTTTTATTCACATAGATAAACTTTTTTTTCTTTAAAATTCTGTTCGTAACATAATTAATGTGTATATATGTATGTATATATTTTTTCTTGTCTCTGTCTCCTCTTACAACTAAGATATTCCGCCAAGTTGTTATAACTCGGCTTTAAAGTTTTGGCCGATATTCCCCCGTCGGGAAATCCGTATGCATCGATGTGCTTCATTAATATTAATAGCATCACATTTGTCCGAGAAAATTGAAGCTCTTTGCAGAGATTTAAAATCCTGAAGTTAAAATATGAATATCATAAGTCTCCCGAGAGGCGTGACATTGGTTTAAATGAATTCTCCACCATCTCTCTCTCCCTCTCTCTCTCTCTCGGAAGTAGAGTTTTTTTAATAGAATCCTAAATTATACATGTGTATGGACAGATTGCAAAATGAATTATTGTAACATTCAGAATCTCGGATGAAGCTCGAGAAAAAGCTCAAACAACGATGATATTGTACGTAACAAATCGGAGTAAATGAATAAATAATCAAACAAAAATCCTTTGGCGGATCTTCTTCTCACGATAAATCTATGAATTTCCAATACCTATATATATTATAGTCAACACTTGAAATCACTTGGTCGTGCTACTTATTATCGATGCAGTTTTTTTTTTCCCCCCACGTATCGAACCTCGGATTAAAAATACTGTATCGCGCACCAGTACCACACTAATCATCGCCAAGTTCCAGACTTGGCTTATCTCACAGGCCAGCGCCGAAACTCGACAGGGAGTCACTCTCGTTGCTCATCATATCCCACGTCTCGTTGCCGATCGCGCAGTACCTCGTTGGACTGGAACTTCTCGAGCGCGTTGGCGTATTGACCTCTGAAAGAAAAGAAAATCGACCAATTATAACTCATTCCATCAAAGTTAAACTTTGCGCAAAAAAAAAAAAAAAAAAAAAAACTCCCTTTGTGCATTTATCGTCCAAGGGCGCGGTCCAATATATCCCGTCCGCATCTGTAGGTGTACACGCTCAGCCCGAGCCTCTTACATTTTGTAATTAAAAAGAGCTTGTTTCACGCGCGCCCTTTGAAAAAATAATAAAATAAAAGCTCCCGGCTCGCCGAAACCAGTTGATATATACAATAAAAAGCTTCGGTGTACGCCAAAGAGAAAGATGATAAACTCACCCCCGTGAGTACCATATGATATCGTGTGTGCCCCGTTCGCCAAGAGAGTAACTCGCGCGTGAAAAAGAAGAATAAGAGTAAGTATATACGGTCTTGCCCCCGTTGCTTACCGCTCTTTCTATTCATTCCCTTCCCCTCCTTGGCGTCGGTTTTCTCTCTCATCCCGTCTACAGGTGGTGGGTGGTGGGTTAGCCATGACGCAACAACCCCCTCGCTTCGCGCCCACGCGCTCCTCCTCCTCTATACAATATATATATATGTACGTACGATTATTTCCATCCCCTTTAACATCAGCGCACGCACGCGTATATGTGTATGCCAACGAGCGGCCGGTCATCCTCCCCCCCACTGGATTATAATATTATTTGACTCCGTCGGATATACATCGTACGCGACGACATATGATATGATAAGTATAAGTATATTATATATATATATACGCATTGTTATGAAAAGAAAAAAATAAAAGATATAGAGTACCTACGATGCGTATATTATATGGTTGAACAATTTTTTTTGCCGGCTCAGCACCTATTCAGATTTAGATTTGGGGACCACATGATAAATGTACTTATATAAGTCACGATTTTGACGAATGAATGAACGGGACAGCTGACAATGCGACGTACACGTGTGCGTACAGGATGAATTTCATCAATTAAACGTGGTCTTGTTTTTTTTTCTTTTTTTTTTTTTTCTTTCTCTCTTTTGCTCCAGATCGCATCATCTCGTTTATGCATCGTTCGTTCAAAAAGGCCTAACGAGCTCCCCTTGGCGAAAGCTCCGTTGAGCTTGCGAGTACGAAATGAGACGAATTGTTTTTGCAATTCTCTATTCCTTTTTCCATTTGAATTTCAATTCGAACCTAGTAGGTGCATACAATGCATGTACACTGTGGGTGATTTATTTGCAATTCAATAGAGAATTTGTTTCCAAGAATTTTTTCTTCCTTTTTTTTTTCTCGATCGCACAAAAACTTGAAACGAGGTTTTGAACTTTGAAACGTTCGGTTCTACCCTGCAGATGGATTTTTTTTTTTTTTTTTTTTTTTCGTAACTGTGTACGAAAATGCGATAAGATTGTAGAACAAATTCAATTTGCGAAAAAAAGTATCTTTTTTTTCGCGCTTGCGAGCGTTTTGATTAATTTTTTTCATTAAAGCATCGATTCCGTGCGCTTAAATTCAATTGCGAGCGCGCGCAGATGCCTTTTATTCAAATGCACGTTCGGGTAATGGGAAGTAATCCAATAAAGGGTAGAGCTCTTGAGATCGAAGCTTGCGTGCCTCTAATCAACTTCGAGAAGCTTACGTGATCGAAATACTCGAGTACCCGAAAAAATTTTACTATATTTAGAAAGCGGATAATAATTTAATCATTTTTACAACCATAGAAATTTATTTTATTTTTTTAAACTTTCGTATTTACAAGTTTCATACCGTCATCGAATATCTTATTTTGATTGAGATAAGCCTATAATAAATCGACCGATTGGATCATTTGCACGGTTTGTCGGTATTTGTTTCGTCCTTGCATTTACCACAGCAGGATTCGTTAGGCTTAGCCAAGTCACTCGGCTTGAAATTCGGAGTCCATGGACCTAAACTCGTATTTGAGTAATAATCCATGGGATAAGGTTGTTTTTCGTCCATCTCGATCATTTTGAGGACCACTGCTGCCTCGTAAGGTGTGAGGAGTGGCTGCTCAAACATGTCGGTTCCCCAATCTATACTGAGCCTTGGACATGCAATCTGGAAAGAGAGGGAATTCATTCAAATACATTAGTTATTCGTGAATTTTAGAGATTTAACGGATATTTTTAAAATTATGTTCCTTACTTGTATAAAAGCATCTATGTCTTTTAAGTCTCTTAAATTCTCAGGTATGATTTCAGGAGTCAGTATAACCATGTAATTTTTATTCAAAGCCTGCAATCGGTTGGTTATTGTGTCCAGAACAGTTGGACTACCTTGTCTTCCGAGAGTGCCAAACAGAATTCCAAACATTTTAGCGTTCCTTGCCCTATCCATTGCATCTTTTCTGTTTTTCTTCATCTCTTCGTGGTCATAAGTTTCTATCGTGATTTTACCCTCGTAAGGATCGTAACGGTAAGCAGGCAAGTTGGGATTAGCTATCATGGCCGCTTCTAAATGAAATCTTCCATCTCCAATATATACCAGTACATCTACATCTTTGATTCTTGGTGCTGTGCAGCCCAAGACCTACAATTTCATTACGTTAATAAAGAAAATTTTTTTCACATAAACAAAATGTTTAAAGCTAAACAAACCTCTCCAGGACTAAGCGGCTTGATTTGAGGTATTGTAATGTTGTAATCAAATTTTCTCAGCTCTGTAGCTATAGCTTGCAGTGAACTGGCAAACTGAATGGTACCAATGAGAGATATTTTTGTCGTATTTGGAAAATTGAATTTTATCGTTTCAATACAATGGACCGTATCAAATTTAATATCTACAAAAACGTATAACATTTTGATTCCACTGGTTTTATCAATTGGAATTAAGCAAGAGTGGCCATAGTGTATTAAAAAATCAGCGCCCAATCTTTTTGCCGTGAAATCATCTACACAGCAGGCACCTGCGAAAAATTTTCAACATTTTATATTAATTTATCTAGAAAAATGTTTAAAAAATAAAAAATAAATTTTTTTTTTTTTTAATTTCAAAAATATCAGAGGTAAGAAATTAATCTCACCATAAGTAACGTCAGCCATTATGACAGTATCAGCATCG